AAGGATAATCTATTTACCTTGGATGGTTGGAGAGCTTCAGGGGTAAGCTTGGTTTTTTGTTTTGTTTTTTGTTACTAGTTGGGCAGACCTGCCATCCACACGTTGTCACGGAGTATTGGGGGACTCAGGGCCCTGCACCCCCGGCTTCCTGCGATTCACCATGACCCTCAGCCAGCCAGTAAAGCAGAAGGTTTATTTGGATGACAGGAATACAGTCCAAGACAGGTCTTGCAGGCACAGACAACAGGGCCCCCCTCAGTTAGGTCCATCTTGGGGTCCCAGGGCATCCCAGCCCCCCTTGGGAGGTCAGAGCAATCTCTGCCTCCCAGCTATCTCACCAGCCCGCTTCCAACACTCTGCCTTCAGCGACCCCTCCCACAGCCTTTGTTCAGTTTCCCGGGCCAAGGTGTCACCTGGCCTCCAACCCCTTCCTGGGTTCTCATGTTACATGCTCAGGTATTCTCCTTCGGGCAGACTCCCATCCCGCAATGCAGACTATTCTAGCCACACTCCCCTGTCAGCATTCACAGACCACAGTAAGAACAGTCCTAGTTCGTCACAGCCCCAAGCCAAGCAAGCTGCCCCAGGCCTCGTTGCCGGGATGGACTCTACGGCCTGCGTCCCTTGTGGGCACGGAAAGGAGCTGGGAGCCTGGTTTTGTGGCTGAGACATGGGTGAGGCAGGAGGTGAGGGGGGGTAGCAGGAGGGGCTGAGTGGCTGAGGATGGGGCAGGAAGGGGGCTTTCGGTGTGATGAGGCACCTGGGACCGGCCAAGGAAGCAGCACCATTTGCGTTAAATACGCAGGGACCCGGCTTGGTTCTGTACAGAGCATCCCCCCTGCAGACTGTGCCCAGAGGTGACGTGAGAGCAGATTGCAGTGCAGGAGGCCTAAGCCAGGGGGAAGGGGATGTTTGCATAGGGTTACCATACGTCCGGTTTTTCCCGGACATGTCCGGCTTTTCGGCAATCAAACCCCCATCCGGGGGGAATTGCCAAAAAGCCGAACATGTCTGGGAAAATGCCGGCCGGGCACTTCCCCTCCCGTGGCGGCTCTGCTCCTCCCCGGATTCTTCGGCTCTGTTTAAGAGCCGAGCTGCCCGAGTGCTATGGGCTTCAGGCAGCCCCCTTGCCTCCGGACCCCAGCCGCCGGCCGGGCACTT